TGAGAAAATACAATTTGCAACAACCTCTTATGGTGACATAATTAATGCCATATGCAACATTCGACACTTACATGTGATCATTCAACTTTTGATCAGGAAGATCTTGATAAAGGATGTGGAATAAAGGTTATTGTAAATTTTTTTCTTATTGTCAGTTTCAACCCATCGAAATTGATAGCAAATTTTCAGTTCCACTGGAAGTTAATTTCTGTACTATGATACTGGGGAGACATGTGGTCTGCATGAGGTCACTCCCATCAATAACATGTAAATGCAACTGAATGATTCAAATGCAATAAAGCTTTGATAAAAAGGTCATTATTCTGGTTGAATTGCTAAAATATAGGATGCTAAAATACACTTAAACATGTTCATTCCCAGAAGGGAACAAAAACAACTTCAATATTGATTATTTTTAAAATTGGATTTCTTGAATTTACTTCTTTTTAGGCAGACTTACGTAAAACATTGGCAACAATAAGATAAACTGCACTGTGGATTTAGCCATAGTAGCATTTTAACAGTATAGAATGACTTAAAGCTGAAGAATGCCCTCCTCTGGTTCTGTTGTTTTCCGGTTTAATTTTACAATCATTATCTTGGCAGACCTTGAGCAGCTAGAATCAGGACATAGCTGCACAATTTAAGTCTCAAAATAAGAACATACTCTGCAAATATACTCAACACTTTTATTTAGGCTCTCAAATGAAATAGCTATACCCAAAAGTCAAATCCACAGATTCAGCTGAAATGTCACTCACTGCTTTATTAAAAAAAAACAGGAAACGGCCATTTAGATCCTCGTGCCTGTTCCATAATTCAATTATTGCAGACATGTAACTCAACTTTATTAACTTGCCACTGCTCTGTCTCTCTCAATAATAATATTATTTAAAAAATCATAGCAAGCTCAGTGCTGGAAAAATACAATTGGGTCCCAAAATCTAGAGTCTAACTAAGGGAGGTGTTTCAGATTTCCGTGACCCTTCGTAAGAGGTGTTGCTTCCTGACTTCTGTTAAGTAGCCTGGCTCTAATTTGATGATTATGTCCACAATGCTCTTGACTCCAGCTTCTTACCAGAGAAAATTGTTTCTATCTATTTTACAAAATTCTTTAATAATTATAAGCATTTCAATCAGATCATTCTTCAACTTTCCAAACTCAAGGAAATACAAACCAACCTGTGCTCATACATCCTGGTATGATTCTGCACCGCATCACTACGAAGGTCAATATTTCGTGTGACACCCAAAATTAAATTCAGCATCCTAGATAAGGCTACATCTCACTGAACCATCAGTTCCACACTTCTGAAATACAAGCCTAGAGTTAAAGGGTTATATTTAAATACCTTGAGATCTAATTCCTTGCTTTGGTTACTTTTGAAGCTCACTGAAGTAACTATTCTAAATATTAAAAAACTGTGCAGTAAATAGCAAGGGAAAGGTTAATGTGATCATGTAGTATCTATGAATATGTATTTCTTTTTAAAGAATTGTTGATTAGGAGTCAAAATCCTTCATTTTAAAGGTACAACTTTATCACAAAGGCAATTGTATAATTTATACATCATTTGGTACTTGGATTTTAAAACGGAGGCAGAGAGATTTTAGTCAGTTCTGGGAAAGCAATTTTTAAAAAAATAAGGTCATAAAGTCAGATTAATCCTTGAGACGGTTGTTTTGTCTTGGGAGGAGGGATTGAGGAAACTTAGTCTGAATTCCCTACGGCATTGAAGAATGAGAAATGATTTACTAGGATGCTGCCTGGATTACAGGGTATGAGCTGTAAGGACAGGCTAGAAAAACTCAGTTGTTTTCTCTGGAGCGGCGGAGGCTGAAGGGAGACTTGATAGAAGTCTATAAAATTATGAGATGCATACCTAGGGTTGATAGTCAGAATCTTTTTCCCAGAGTTTAAATGTCTAAAACTAGAGGGCATGCATTTAAGGTGACAGGGGGAAAGTTCAAAGGTGATGTGAGAGGGCATTTTTCTTTTTACACAGAGAGTGGTAGGAGTCTGGAACACTGCCAGGGGTGGTGGAGGAGGCAGATATGATAGGGGCATTTGAAAACTTTTAGAATAAGCACATGACTATGCAAGGATTGGAGGGATATGGACCAAGGGCAGGCAGAAGGGATTAGCTTAATTTCGCATCATGTTCGGCACAATATCATTGGGTTGAAGGGCCTGTTCCTGTGCTATATTGTTTTATGTTTTATGATTAGGGCTAGGGATATCAACAGGTTGCTTCCTCTGGCTAGTGATTCTAGATCCAGAGAATATAAATTTTTGAGTCCTTACCCTAAGATCATATGAAGATGATTTTTTTTTAACCCAGAAGGTGGTGAATCAGTTCAATTCTCCACCCTGGAGGGCTGTGGAAGCTCAATTATTGAGCATGTTAAAGACAGAAATTGCTAGTGCAATTAGTTTCCAGAAACTTAAGGGATATGAAGATGGTGCATGAAAGTAGCATTGACATGATCAGCCATGATCTCGCATGGTGAGGCAGGCTTGAAGGGCTGAATGACCTACTCTTGTTCCTGTGTCCTTGAACCAATATAAGTAATTTGGAAGAGTGACCCAAATACATCCTTTCCAAGATGTCAAATGCCTGTGGTGTTAATGGAGGCAATGTTTATGTTGCTAAGTTTATAGCAGACTAGACAGCATTAGTTTAGCTTTTGATTTTAGTTCAGAAGAATTAGAGGTCGTTTAGAAGGGGGAACAGGTTCTATCTACAAAGAGAACCATGTTTTTAGTTCAGGCGAAACAGACAACCTAGCCAAACATTTTATTGTGTGAAGCTTCCAAACAAAAGAGTTCGTTTAGAAGTGTTTACGTTGTTAGAAATGGTTTAAGTTAACAAAATCAAAGGTTCTTGCCATCAGAATGGTAAAGGAATCGTACAGTAAAACCATCTGAGCAGTCCAAGAAAAGGAAGCAAGAAAGGGACAATTAAGAAAGAATTAAAAAGAGTTTAAATAGGAGCAATATTTGTGAGATTAAGTATCTGTAAAAAGGGCAGTGCTGGGAAACGAGGGGTGAAATTTTGATTTGCTGTTTGGGTTACAATTATATCTTTGTTTTGTTTTTTCTTTTGTGTAATAAACTTACGCTTTGTTAATGAGCATCTGCAGTCCTACAATAAATTATTTCAGTGATTAACCATCATAATAGCCAACTTTAAAAATTAAACATATGATCTTTGAAGCCAGGTTTCATTCTGGGATCCGACTTGCCTGGTATTATCATAAGCCGGGGTCATAACATCTTTAAACAAAAATTAAAAAAGAAACAGCGATGTAACAAGACATTTTCCCTAAAAGGCAACATAAATTTTAACAGATTGCAAATTGTTATGCCTGGCATCTTAATAGCAGTCAGTCAGCGCCATGCTCCTTGTTTATAAAACCTGCCCATCCTCTAGGTCAGACCCTGGTGAACTCTCCTGCAAGTTACAAAATAAAATTTCAGGTACAGCAAGAGTTTCAGCTATCCTCTTACAATCTTACATTCAAAATGTACAAGGGTAAAGACTACAGCAAGTTTGTTCAATCATTTTACTGAACTATCTTCCAGTGAACTTGTCAGCTTTCATACAATTTTGTCCCCTATTCCCATGTCAAACTTGCTTTGGATGATTTAATACAAGTGAAGGCCAGGAGGCAAATGCAATGATTCCTGCTTCCAGAACTCAAGTCACATTCCAAAGTCTAAATTCAAATATAGTTTGGCTAAATGCAGACTTAAAGTTGCCTCCAGAGTACCCTAATAATGCATTATCCTACCCAAACCTAAAGGAAAATTACTACAATTTGTGTTTTTTGCTGGTTATTACAGCCATTATTACAGGTATCATTTTAAAGGCTGAAAGCTGCAGATCCAAGTTCAGCAAAATTGCATTGAATTCTAAAGAAGAAGCTCCAAATGAAACCCTGTTATTCACTCTGCCTCCACCCGATTTTAATTTCACTGTCCTGGTGCGTATGCTCCACTCAAACTTTCCAGCTACCTTTCCTCAATTAAACTTACCACTGGGGCCACCCATTCATTGCTCCCTCATATCTTGACCTACCTTTTCCTCAATTACAGCTGTATAATTCTCTTCAACCATTGAACAACGACCATGACTCATGGGATAGTGTGCAGGGTATCAAGCCCATCTATTCCCAGCATCGTCACAAATGTGAAAAAATTTAGTCAAACTATCTGAATTCCCCAATTTACCTGACTGACAAACCTGGGTTAAAACGCTGTACTTAACAATGTGAATTATCTTTAACCAATGGAATTGCTAACTTAAGGTTACAACTTAAAGTCTACCCCTTCCTAAACTCTCCCCCTTCAGTAACACGCAAACAAAGACAGACAAGACATAGATACGAAGGGTGGAGAAAAAAAATAATCAGGGAAGTAGTTTGATACCACCAGGCTGGAGCATAGGATTTGATGAGTTATTTTCTTTCACTAATAATTCTTTAATGTTGACACATGGTTCTTTGCATAGCAATGTTGAGTTTTTAAAATACCTCTATTAGGTCATCACTCAGATTTATTTTTTCCAAAACAGGGTCACAACCTGTCCTCCACTCCCGATTATGTAAACACACATTACTGGCATTATTTTTGAAACTCTTCCTTGCATTCTCTCCGATGACTGAGTGTATTCTAATCAATTCCAATCTTGCATAATCTCCCTATACTTCAGCTGTGTCAGCTACCTTAATCTTGCATTCTGTAACTATTCTTCTAAAATTTCCAACTCGTCACCTTTAAAATGCACATCTTTAACTATTTCCCTTGCGAATTACATTACTTCTCTTTTATTGTTTCTTTATTCACCACTTTTGCCAAGAATTTTGGGATAGTTTTTGTTCAAGAGGCACATAATTGCTGTTTTAAAATAATATTACATCAAGAGACAACATAATCCTCTCCTGCAAAAAGTATAACATGAAGTGGCAACTGTTATCACACATATTGAAGAGCTTACTTGCATGGCAGAATCCTGACCACATCTTTAGATTTGTATCCCTCTATGCAGACTGCACAGTGGTCAAACTCTGGGTCAGTTTCCTGAAAAACACAAAAATGTACAACTGAGTTAATAATTACTTGCAGTTAATAAGCTTTCACTTTTTCTTTTAAGAAGAGTCCTGGTCAAAATTGCTCTTATTAGATACTGCTTAAATTACACATTGGTACAGAAGGATGAAGTATATTAATAATTCCAATATTGTATGCAAAATCTTTCAAGTATAGAAATCACAATTTATATCACCACCTATGAGAAAGGAATATGTTAGATCACAATTCCCTAAACTGTGGATGCACCTAGATCACACAAGCTGCAATTGTCCATTGTATCAGTTACCATTATTTGCATACTTGTAGCTGTGTACAGTTCAGTAGCACAGAAAGACAACAAAGCAGTTGAACTTTGACAGATAACAGAGCAGTTTACCTCCTTAACCAATGAGATTGAAGCTTGATAACCAAACAAAGAAACAAAAGGAATTTGAGTGGAGTAGTTAATTCAGATACTGGAAGAGAAATTAAATGAAGAAATAAATATTAGATTAAGAGAAAGGCAAAGTAATGAGGAAGCAAAGAAAGAAAAGAAGTTTAATTGAATAATAGTTTACTACCAACAGAATTAAACTCCGTTGTTTCAACTGTTCCTATTCTTGGTTGCAGAGAGAGATTGGAATAAAATAGAATAGAATAGCAATTTATTGTCACGTGTATTTTTATAAAAAGTGGAAAGTTTTATAAGTCGCCATACCATGGCGCCTAAATTAATGACACGTCATAAATAAGAAGAAAAAAAAAGTTTATTGCAGTTCAATTAATGGCTCCTAGATTTGGGATATGTTGGAAAACCAGGCCAAAATCACCATGCAGGTCCGGGATGAGACCGCCCCATCATGCCGAGGCGAGACCTCCATGCCAGGCTGTTCAAAGACACCGAAGCCACCTCTGAAGCAAGGACGAGACCTCCACACCAAGTTGAGACCTCCATGCTGGACTGCTGGAATACCTGGAAGCAGCTGAAGAAAACCTCTACACTGGGACAAGAATGCCACTCCAGGCTGAGACTGCCCCTCCTGGACAAGACCACCATACCAGGAGACTGCTTGCCAGGCCTATATTGCCATTCCTGGTCATTGGAGGCCACATTGTCGCTGGGCACGGGCCGGGAGAAGACGCCTTCCGCCGAAGTCGTTAGAATAACGTAAGGTACCATAATAAATGGAAACATAATTTAAAAAGCATAGAAAGAAAATAAAAGTAAAGCAGACGGAATAGACGAGCTTCAGGCTCCTAGGTTGAGGAGCTTGCACGTTGCGCGGCTACTCCGCCGCCATTTGGGGACAAAAACAGAATTCTATTAATCAAAAGTGTACTTAGGCTGATAAGTAACAGGTGTCACTTTACACAAGTTTAATTGGTCATTAATCTTAAAATGCAGAAACACAGCAAGGTTCAGATTGGAAATGCTCTACTTATGGTCTTGGATTATAAAACGAGGGTGGGCTCCCCATTGTCTTTGCTTAGTTAGCTCTCACTGCTTTTATTTTTCTGGGAGATTGCCCTGTAATTGATAGAATTCCTGCCTCATACTAATCTCTAAAAGCAGGTCCTGCCACAAAGCTGTAGCCAGTCAAAGTCAGTAGTTTCAGAAGGAGTGTGAGCACTGTTGGTGCTAGAGGTAGGCCAAGGAGGATGCTTTCAGCAATTGTTCTGAACATCTATGTACATCTGCAATCTTGCTGGGCCAGGCTGATCCCTGAAAGGGAGTGGTTTGTGACTAGCAGGGCAGAGGAGGGAGGGCGAACATGCAGGTGGTAAAACTTTCATGAGGGGCTTCCAAAGGACACGAGGTAGACAACAAAAAGCACTGTTTACCCCTTAACTGGCTAGCAGCCCACATAAATAAAACAGCCAGACTGCATATGGAGCTCCAGAATCTCCTACAATCCGTCAAATCAGAGCATTGATTATCCCCTTAAGGATTTTGATACTCAAAATTAAAGTGGGGGTAGGCTGGCTCTGGAGGAGGAGCTGCTGGCAGTAGGGCACCCTAATTCATGGTTCACCCACCTGCTTTCCTTTTAATGGATGGCCTATGAAATGCAGCCCAACGAGTCCAATGGCAGGGTAAAACAAATCATGCAGCAACTTCTGGTGAGTCACAATTCATATGTTATATTTTCCTCAAACAAATTGCTGGAAATTGACACATTAATATGGGCATACACATTGAACTTACCACTAGTCTGGCAGCAAATTCTAGCTCATATTAATGCACTGAGAATTGTTAAAATATGCCAGATGCATTATTCATTTTCTTTATTTAAAAAAGGCAGTGTTCGATCACACATTTTGCAGGAGTACCATAAGTCAAAGTTTGAGCCAAGCTTGCAACAGCTATAATTAAATTATTGGTCATTACTTGAGCTTGAAAAGCCATTTATAAATTATAAGATGACTAGATAAAGAAAGCAACAGCACATCAATATCTGGAGCATTTTTCAATTTAATTCATTCGCTGGATACAGAGTCAGAGTCATCGAAAAGGCTATGGTGGATCATCTTTTTGAACCAATGCACATGTGGCTTTTGCTGTTTTTGTAGTGGCCAGATGTAACAGAGTGGCTTGTTAGACCATTCCAAGAGGCAGTGTGGTCAAGGGACAATAAGCCGAAAATTCGACATTCTAAATTAACCCATAGCCAGAGAAACTGGGCCTGACAGAAAACTGGCCAAACCAAATTAAACAGCAGCCATCAGCTACACAGAACAGTGGAAACCAAGGTCAAAAAGAGGTCAGGAAGGTTTAGTGGAGACCAGTTACAACCAGCCCGAGGGTTGTGTATTGCAGAAGTATCAATCAGACTTTCTGGCATCTTGACTTTCAGTCACTGTCAGAGAAAGTTCACCTTACATATCCTTGGCATGGAAACTGTGAAGGATGATGGCACGACTTCACTGGATACTTTGAATCGCACTCATGACCTCCATGGTCTTTGGCCGAAGGCCATGTGGCAACCCAAGACCACCCAGGAGGAGATCTGCCCTGACCTGCAAGACACTTCTACATGGAGAGAGCCAGCCCTACATCACAAAGGAAGGAGATTTCAACAGCTCAGCTCAAACGCATGGATTGTTGTGAGTAATTTCTCAGACAAGCAGAGCTAGATAGAGTGTAAATATTATAGGAATTTGGGAAATACATGGTGTTTTAATAAGGAATACTTTGTTAATAATATGAGTTCGGTGTCCCTTTGTCTATCTCATCATCAAGATTGCTTGGGTAAAGTGTTTTTAATACATAAACTGACTGATGTGTCCCAAGCATGGACAACAGCAATAAGACTCAATTCACACTGTCGAGGGTAAAAGTACTATGGCAATGGATTTTAGCAGTAGAGTCAGAAAAGAATAATTAAGATTAGGTTTCCTACAAATTCTAATATGCAGGAGCAGAAGTTGAACATTTGGTCCCTTCGAGCTTGCTGCACCATTCCACCTTCCCATCTACTCTTGATAATCCTGGATTCCCTAGCCAAACAAGAATCTATCCATCTCTATATTAAAAATATTCAATGACCCCATCCACACTGCCTTTTGAGGTGAAGAGTTCTGAAGTTGCCTGGAGAAAATAACTCTCCTCATCCCTATCCTGAAAGGACAAGCCTTAACCTCAAAAGCATATCCCTTAGTTCTGATGTGACCCACAAAAGGAAACATTTTTCCACAAATATCTTGTCAAGATCATTCGAGATCTGAACAACTTCAATCAACTCACCTGTCGCTCTTCAAATTGTAGTGGAAATAAACCCAGCTTGTTCAGTTAATCCTCTTAAATTACTCATTCAGTCCTGAACTCAAAGATTAGCTTTCATGCATGTTTCCTATGAACAAGGCTATTTACCTATGATACATACTATAAATAGGATCATAATTTAATTGCATAATTCTGTTCATTTCTCAAAAGTACAGAGAAAAAAAAGCACTGGGATGTTATAGCTCAGGCTAAAAATAACAAACCAAATTTCTGATTTTTTTTCTAAGAATACAACAGAAGAGCTTTTGTGACGCAGTGGTACTGCCCCTACCTCTAAACCGTAAGATCTGGATTTGAATCCCACACGCCTGCAGATGTGCCACAATATGTCTAAACAGATTGATTAAAAGTATATACAACTAGCAGATAAAACAAGCAATAAATTCTTAACTCTTAATGTGTACTTTGAAATGGGTTCTGAGATGGCACTGCAGATGTTTCACATCCTTTGATGATCTTACAGCAGAGTAAACTAGATACGTATCATTTTATTTTCCAACACATTGGGTGGAATTTTCACGCTTCTCCACATTGAACTTTGTCTGCCACATATTCACCTATTCCACTAACTTGCTTGTGTCCTTCTGAGTTCCATATTACATAATGTTCCTCCCAGTTTATAATTCTTTTAAGTTCTGTTTTATCCATAAACTTTAAAATTGTGTCGTGTACACAGAAGTTCATGTCATTAACATATCAGGAAAAGTAAGGGTTCCAACTAACCCTGGGGAATGTTCTCTTCAAACTTTCCTCTACTTGAGAAACATTCATTAAACACTAGTTTTTGCTTTCAGTCCCTCAATCAATTTGAAATCTAGGTTGCTTCTGACCATTTCATTTCATGGACCATAACTTAGTTCATAGGTCTGTTGCACAGCCCTGTGACAAATGCCCTTTGGAGATCACCATGTCTACTGCATTGCACTTATCAGCCCTCCTATAGCATGTCAACATAAAATCAGTGACTTAGGTAAACATGATTTTCCCTTAAGAAATTGAAGATGGCTTTCTTTGATTAATTTGCATTAATCCTCGTGACTGAATTTTATCCTGAGTTATTGTTGCCTATGACTTGGCCACTTCCTATCTTTGTAATTTCCTTTGGCCTTTCCAACAACACACCACTAACCCCACTTCAGGAGATGTCATCTAATTCCAGTCTCTGAGGCATACCTTAATTTAATTGCTCCCCCACTGGTAGCTATGCCTTTAGGCCAATAAGCCC